CATTTGTCGCTGAACATTTAGGTTGTTTCCGGGTTTGGGATAGCCATCCCTTTTGGATAAAGCACAATTGGCAAAGGCAAAGCATCTGCATTGCTTTTCTTACTGCAATGCCTCTGTGTTTTATCCTTGACAGGCACCAGTTATAAATCACAGTGCTCACAATGAGTTCAGGAGTCATCTTAAAATCTTTCTCAACACAGCTTCCCTTGCAGCTTCTACCAATAGATGAGATTTTGTATAAAGCAGGAAAGGTATTTGCCATCCATGGGTTTCTGGTAGTGAGGCGGCCAGGCGTCTGCTTGTGAATTTTCCCATCTGATTAGTGTCATGGGGGAATGGGGGGAAGGGAGGGAATAAGGGTAGGTGTAAACTCTTCAGTCTGGTGTTTAAGACCCTTTGTGGTTTGGCCTCACTTTCTATCTCTAATCAAAGAGCCTAGGTTTGCTCAGACAAGCATTCCCACTTGCTTCCATACTTCATGTTTTTTTCCTTTTTTGGGTCCTCTGTTCACTGTTTCCCCCACTTGGAACACCCTCCCTCCTGTCCATCCAATTCTTGCTGTTATTTAAGGCTTAGCTCATGGTCCATCTCTTTTTGCTAAGTCTTTTCTAAATACTAGCAATGCTTTCTTTGTGGTTTAAAGTCCCAGGACATTTACAATTCATTCTACTCACTTGGTATCAAACATCTTCCCCTGAAACATTTGTTTCCTTTTAATATCTATGTGTTTGAATTTTTTAGCCACTAGATAATAGACCTTGACAGCAGGGTCTGAGCCCTCATCTTCCATTGTGCTGAGTGTATATGTTGGGTAAGAACAATTTGTCTGTCCAGGGCTGGTGGAAAGAGGGGATGCTGGTGGAGGGTAAATGAGCCACACTTCATCTGCTCTGCATTCTGGTTTAAGTCCCTCTCTGTTTCCATTTGAGGCCTTTGAAATAGGATTCAAAACATAGACTAGGATGTCGGTGGGTTTTCCCACAGAAAGCTAATGCAGTATTGAGAGATGATAAAAGGGAGGATCTGGAGGGTGCAGAGCAGCGAACCGCCAACTCCAGGTAGTGGGGCGGAGCACTGAGGGAAGTTTCACTTCCCTTTGGTTCTTCCCGCCTTAGTAGGAAGTGATGACAATATCCAACATTCAAAATCATTTAATCTTCAGTCTTACCATTAGGGAGGAGTTGCATTTTATTAAAGCAACTATCTTCATTGTCACTCTGCCCTGCTCAGAATCCGGCGTCAGAGAAGTAGAGCTCATTTTGTATGTCTGAACTATTTCTTAGTAAGTTTTTAAAATAAATCTTCAGTGCTACATAAAAGTGATATAAAGTTCATCACATATAAATGCTTGCTTTCTGAGTGTTTTCTACATATTTCCAGATTATATAAGGATGTTTTATTCAAAATGATTCAAAATGATTTTCCTTCATTACAATATCAACATATTTGTATTTTTATTTTACTTAGATAACAGATACACAAGTTCATAAAAGTATTCAATGAAAAATTTGTACCAGTCACTGAGCATATAAATGATCATTCTTTTTAGGGTAGTAGATACTAAGGCAGAAGTTATTGAGAACCAAAAGTTCAGTGGAGAAGCTGAAACCCAAAGGGCATGGGACTTGGCTAATGCCCTGGCTTTGTTAATACAACTTGAAAAAATTAGCCCCAATTTTCTTCCACATCCAGTTTCCATAGCTAGTTGGTAGCTTCCTTGATATCAGAGATCCAGCTTCTGTGATCTTTGACAAGCAATTAGACCAGTAACCCCCCCCCGTCCTCATCTGTAACATGAAGAAGTTGGATGAGCTGTGGTTTACAAACTGTGCTCTGTGGGATCCTAGGGTTCCCTGGGGAGGGCAACAGGACAGCTCTCTACCAATCTCTCCCATTACAGCAGCTCTTTTTAATTACTGTTTTTCAGTGTTACAGTTAAGATTTGATTTGGAAAAAATGGACTGGATGATATCCAAGTTATTGTTCAGCTTTCAAAAATTCTATGTCCAGTCTTTACTCCTAAGGTCTAATTCAGTGAACAAAAAAGGGCTTAATTGGGGCTTCCCTGGTGGACCAGTGGTTGAGAATCTGCCTGCCAATGCAGGGGACACGGGTTCGAGCCCTGTTCTGGGAAGATCCCACATGCCACGGAGCAACTAGGCCCGTGAGCCACAACTACTGAGCCTGCGCGTCTGGAGCCTGTGCTCTGCAACAAGAGAGGCCGTGCACCGGCCCGCGCACCGCGATGAAGAGTGGCCCCCGCTCGCCGCAACTAGAGAAAGCCCTCGCACAGAAATGAAGACCCAACACAGCCACAAATAAATAAATTTTTTTTTTTTTTTTTTTAAAAAGGGCTTAATAGGGCTTCCCTGGTGGCGCAGTGGTTGGGAGTCCGCCTGCCAATGCAGGGGACGCGGGTTCGTGCCCTGGTCCGGGAGGATCCCACATGCTACCGAGCGGCTGGGCCTGTGAGCCATGGCCTCTGGGCCTGCGCGTCCGGAGCCTGTGCTCCGCCGCAGGAGAGGCCGCAACAGCGAGAGCCCCGCGCACCGCAAAAAAAAAAAAAAAAAAAAAAGGGCTTAATACATTTTATTGGCTAACAAAATAAAAGGAAACATTTTGTGAATAATGGCTGACATCGATGGGCTATCTATAATGTGCTAAATGCTTCATAATTATTATTTCATTTTTCCCTCACCACAGCCCTGTGAGGCTTAATCCTTTTAGAGAAACATATTTTTAAGCAACTTGGATAGAGCATATTACTGGTAAGTGGAACTACACTGATATTTTAAAAGTATAAAGTAGTTATATTTGGGGTCCATGCTCAAAACCTTTGTGTACCATCGTAGTTTTCCCTTGAGTTCTCTCGTCCCCTTTATTCAAGAGTTCATAGCCCTCCTGAATCAAAGTTTTAAAGAATCTCAGGAAAAAAATGGAAAATCATTTCCCTAGATCTGGGCTCCTGAGGATGCTTTAATCATGCGACCCACGGGAGGCAGAGGACTAGATGAAATGACCCAGAGAGGTTAATTTCCAAGTTCCTCATTCTATGTTCTCATTCAGTGATGGCCAAGACGGCTGTTGCATGGAAGGCCATGTTTCTGAATTGACTTCTGTCTTCAGCATCCAGGGAACATGTGCCCTCTAATCACCTCCCCCCACCCTACCAACCCCCAAATGGGAATTATACATCCTCAGTGGTTCAAGATGGCAATTTTGGAGCTAGGTGGTGAGGCTAGGTTTAGGGCATTACATTTGAGTTCTTCCCTCTGTGGCACAGCTTTAACTAATGTTTCCAACATGTTCTCTGTAAGTAGCAGGAGACAATAAGGGAGCATCTGGGGTTTCCAGGAGCCTTGGAAAACAACTTTGCATAAGTCCTCTTAGGAATCAGTGTGATAATTTCTCGGGGGTTTATACCAGGAGTAAGATCCGTGAGTGGTAGGTAAGCTACACTGACCCTGGGGTAAGGTTGGGTGGGGTACACGGTGAGCACTCGTACAGTGCCCTCCAGAACGACCTTAGCTTTTCACTCCCGTGAAGATCCCATTCTCCCTTATCCTCACCGAAAGTCTGATGTGTCTACAGAGGTTTCTCACTGTTATTTTAATTTGCATTTGTCTGATTGCTAGGGGAGTTGAGCAGAGGATTATCTTTCTCTTCCATGAAACTGTGAGTTCCTCTAAGGCCGTGCGATAATCGTGTGTATCCTTGGCCTCTGCTACCCAGTAGGACCTCCTTACTTACATGAGTGCCCGGCTCGTCCCTCAGCAGAGGATTCAGGTGTTCCAAATACAAGCTTTTTCTTGAAATTTCTTTAAGTTGGAAGCATCTGTGTCTAGCTAGTGTCTGCCAGAACTGCAATCAGGATAATGACCAGAGTATTCATTTGTTTCTGTAAAATCAGAGAACTAGTGAACTTCAAGGACACGAAGAGGAATGGTCGGCTAATGACAGGTTTCACTCAGTAAACTCTGATTTCCTCTCTTGTTTTTCCTCAGTGTGATACGTCATCTTGTCAGCTTGCGTGCCGCTCACTTTTGATCTGTTTGAAATGCTTGCCTGGGGCCATCCGTGGGAAATCGTCTAGTCTGACCCATCCTGTCCCCATCTCTACACCAGTGGTTTTGAGCACTTTGGGGTCATGTGTCCCATTGATACTATGATAAAAGGTACGGACCCATTCTCTGGAAAATTCACGTGTGCACAAAATTTTGCATGTAATCTCAGTGGACGTGACACCTAAAGACTTATGTGGCAATTGTTTGTGCACTCATTTATTCATTTACTTGCTCATTCACTTATTCACGCGTTCATTCATTTATTGTTAGTTAATGCTGTGATTTAGGTGCTGTGTTAGATATTGGAGACCCATGAACAACAGTCCCTACCCTCAAGGAGTTTATAGTCCAAGCGTACAGGTGGTAAATAAACCACCTGTGATGGTAAATTTTGTGTGTCAATTTGATGGGGTTAAGGGATGCCCAGATAGCTGGTGAAACATTATTTCTTGGTGTCTGTGAGGGTTTTTCTGGAAGAGATTAGCATTTGACTTGGTAGACTGAATAAAAATGCCCTCCCCTGCACCCCCCACCCCAATGCTGGTGGGCGTCATCCAATCTGTTGAGGGCCTGACGAGTACAAACAGAGGATGGAAGGGCAAGTTTGTTCTTTTTGCTTGGCTGAGACATCCATCTTTTCCTGCCCTCAGAAATCAGCATTCCTCGTTCTCAGGCCTTCAGACTTGGACTGAGAATTAACCCCTGGCTCCCCTGGTCCTCAGGCCTTTGGACTCAGACTGAATGACTCCACTGGCTTTCCTGGTTCTCCAGCTTGCTTTTTTTATTGTGGTAAAATATATACAACATAAAAGTCACCATTTTAACCATTTTTAAGCGTACAACTCAAGGACATTAAGTACATTTACAATGTTGTGCAACCATGCCACTATCTATTTCCAGAGCTTTTTCATCACCCCAAACAGAAAGTCCCTATTCCTCCCTCCCTTCTCCCCACCTCCTGGTAACCTTTGTTCTACTTTCTGCCTTTATGAATTTGCCTATTCTAGATACCTCATATAAGTAGAAGCCTACAATATTTGTCCTTTTGTGTTTGGCTTACTTTAGTTAGTGTAATGTTTTTGAGGTTCATCCATGTTGTAGCATGAATTCAGAATTTCATTCCTTTTTAAGGCTGAATAATATTCCATTGTATATATAGACCACATTTTGTTTACCAGTTCATCTCTTGTGGACACTTGGGTATTTCCACCTTTTGGCTATTGTGAATAATGCTGCTATGAACATTGATATACAAATATCTGTTTGAGTCCCTGCTTTTTTTTTTTGCGGTAAGCAGGCCTCTCACTGCTGTGGCCTCTCCGGACGCGGAGCACAGGCTCCGGACGCGCAGGCCCAGTGGCCATGGCTCACGGCCCAGCCGCTCCGCGGTATGTGGGATCCCCCTGGACCAGGGCACGAACCCGCGTCCCCTGCATCGGCAGGCGGACTCCCAACCACTGTGCCACCAGGGAAGCCCTGAGTCCCTGCTTTTGATTCTTTTGGGTATATATCTAGGAGTGGATTGCTGGATCATATGGTAATTTTATATTTGACTTTTTTAGGCTATATATAATTTTCTCAGAAATTTTTGAAAGGATTTTCAAATTGTGCTTTGTAAATTACTTGGCTACTTATTTAGTTTATGATTGGTTATTTTAATTTTTATTCTATAAGATTATTATCCTTTTATTTTGGTAATCGTCTAGCACAGTGGTCCTCATATTTAAGCTTGTATCAGAGTCACTTGAAGGGCTTGTGCAAACAGAGCATTCATTGAACTCCATTCCCAGGGTTTCTGATTCAGTAGGTCTGGGGTGAGGCCTAGGAGTCTTCATTTCTAGCAAGTTTTCAGACAAGGCTGATTTTGCTGTTCTGGGGGCCACATTTTGAGAACCACTGACAATGCATACTCAGGAATTCTTGAGGTAAAAATAGAACTTACCAGCTGTTTTCAAATGTAATAATTTTATGAATACTAAACCTAACAATTGCTGAAGCTGGCATGATATATTTTATAGACAAACACATTCGTTGCAACTTTGCAGTTTTATTTTTGTATTTTGTAATCAACATTCTTTTTTCAGGTCTTTAACATTTTTATAGGCCTCTCCCAAACTTATAGGCCTTAATTGTACCCAAAGTATTGATGGAGAGAATGGTTTTTCCTAACGCTTATAGATTTGCCTTATTAAAAAAAAAAGAAGACTGGTAATTATCCCATTGTGTAGATGCATCATAATTTAATCACACCCAATCAATAAACTATAAGTTGTTTGCATTGTTTTCCTTCTAAACAAAGCTACAGTGAAGACCTCTCTATCCCAGGGGTTCACATTTCTGACTGCCTGTTAAAATCACCTTTTCTAATCAGTTTTCTATTCCTATCCTTGGGCCTCACTACCAGAGGTTCTGATTTTATTGGTCTGAGTTCATGCTGCCCAGGCATGAATAGTTTTTAAAAGGTCCTCAGGTGATTTTAATGTGTAGCCAGGGTCGAGGATCATTGTCCTACATGCAACTTTGACCACATGTGCTCTGTCTTGTCTGGGCCAGGACATTCCCTTGAGATCTGATGCTAACCCGGAAGAAGATTCATTGTTATTTTTGTAAGAAAGATGTTCAAACGATTGTCCCACAAGTGAAGACATGCTATGTTATTGCTGCATTGGCAGTGGGAACAACTGTCCTGCTGGTTCTCCTCTGCTCTAAAAACGTGCACACTCCCAGCCTTTTCTGTCACGGATGCTTGTCTTGTAATTGCCAGGGAGGAGGGAAAAAGAGTGTTAAAATGACAAGCTTCATTGCAGGAATCAGGATGGGAGTTCATTCCTTATCCTTAAGAGTCTCTGAATTTAGTTGTTTTCATTATTTAAATTCTAGCATTGAAGAAATCTTCAGTGTAGAAACATTAGGACAGATTAATAAGTGAAAGGAAAACTACCTAAGTGTCTATTTTCTATTTAATGAAGAATAATGAGAATCAAGTCTAATCATCTTAATCAACAGCAGTGTTCAAGCGCAAATGTTACATTTTGGGTTGAAGATGAATGACTAGCAACAGATGCAGAGATTTTTGTCACTATTGTACGTACTTGGAGACAGACGTGACTCTGTAAACCAAGCCGAAAAAACAAAGGTGATGTTCAAAATATATAACAGCTGGTATGGCATGGCGCCTGGTGCTGCTTGGGACACAGTTCTGGTCTGTTTTGACCAAAACCAGCCCTCCAAAAGCATTTGATGTGGGGGTATTAAGAGTCCCCTGCTTTCACAAGCCTACCCCACTTGCCTGTCACATTGCCTGAGATTCCACCCCTCACCTGAGTAAAAATTTTATCTTTCTTGTAAGATCAATACAGATACCTTTTGGAGGAGAGTATGTGTATATATGTGAGAACTTCATTTCCTAATAGCTTTTTACCCTTGCTATTGATTACTTTATAACCTGAGCAGGTTCCCTGTTGGAAATGTTCCCTGGTGGACTGGACATAGGATATAGATCAGTGTTGGTGGGGAGAGAGAAAATTCAGGACTCTGGGCTTCTGCCTGGGAGGAAAGGCCTCCCTCGTGTAGTGATATCATTAAGGATGAGGTGGAATGGGAATGGGAAGAGGACTTGAAGATCAACGTGGCCTGTTTTTATCATTTTGCCAAGTAATTAACTCTAGCAGAGATGCCCAGATCTGGAAGGAACTGTAGAGATCATCTCTTCCACATGCCCCAATTTATATCTCAGGAAGCTGAGCCCAGAGAGGGAACGTGACTTGTTCAAGGCCACACAGTTGTTTAGTTTGGCAACGTGGGAAGAATTTTAGTGTCAGAACTGGCTTTAAGGTGGGACTCTTCTGCTGTCCTGGGAAATGGGGCATACATTTCAAAAAAGTGAAAACATGTGAAGGGATGAAGAAGTCCAGAATATGCCCTTGTTACATAAAAATTATTTTGAGCTGAAGGCATTTGAGATCCTGAAATCCCTTATCTGCCTGAAAGCAGAGCATCTCAAAAGAACTCAGTTGTCATAAATCCCCTCCCTGGGAGCAACTCTCTAGTCTTCCAGGAGATGTAAAGCTGGCACCACACCAAAACAGACATTATTACAAAACTATCATGTCCCCCATTTATTCTAAGTGCCCTTTCTTCCCTCTCTTTCTAAAAAGTCATTTGTTTCCCAGAAGTGCCCTTCTCCCCCTTCCTTTCCCCTATTAAGATGGTATATAAGCCCCTTTGGGTCACATCTTTTTTATGAACTCCCATGATTAAATCTGATTTTTCTCTTGCTAGTCTGTCTGTCTGAGTTTAATTTGCAGGCACGCAAAACAAAATGTAAGAGGTTAGAGAAAAAGTTTTTCTCCATGACACATGACTCATACAAAAGACAGTAAACATGTAAAGATTTTATTCAAAGAACATAGAGCTGGTTCCAAAAAATTTAAGAAACACATTTATATAGTATGTTAGTCAAGGGAATGTGAAAATGAATTTGCTAAAAGATACAAAATTGGTTAATGTTCTACAGGGCAATGAAATTGTAACCTTTGGGACAGAAATCTACAAGTTAACATTATTTTCACAATGTCTGTTCTCTAAACAAGTAGTGAATGGCAAAATCATACAAAGTTCTAATTAATAATCCTCGGATGAGTCTGTTAAACAATGATACTGAAAGGAGGTACGTTTACTATGGTAGTTTATTTCCAAGTTTTGGGTAAATTTGGCTTAGTATGGGAATGTGATGGAAAAATGTCTGAAGTACTCCTCAGTTGTTACTGTTTAGCAGGAAAATGTGCTTTTGGAGTGTTCTGGGTCCTTGATTATGTGAGAGTCCATCCATCTATACATCTCCTATGCACATACTGCAAGAGGAGGTGATCCTAGGAAAGAGAAAGTCTCATTCTATCAATCCTCGCAGTATCAATCAGCCAAACTGCTGAGGGTTTGGAATCCCGGACCCAGGAGGGGCCTGTTCTTTGCTAGAAGCCATAGTAAACAGATTTAGTTGTCAGTTTTGCCAAGAATGAATGGAAATAAGTGAAGATTTAAAGTTTTTGGAGCAGAAGGCCTGTTGAATTTGGGGGTAGGGGTTGGGCAATGACAGCTCTTCTCTGGTGTTT